TTCCGCTTCCGCTTCCGCTTCCGCTTCCGCACTTGATCGGCTCTCTCGCGTTTCGCAATCTGTTGCGCACCTCATCAGGCTCAGCTCGGCTGACCAGCTCGACTGGCTGAGGTTGAGATGCTAGGCTGAATTTGACCCTTTAACGTCCTTTCGCCTTGCACGACTAAAATTGAACAGGTTGCGACAGAAGTCGAGCGCCACGCCAAGTTGTCAAAGTCAAACCCAGAAAGACAAGAACAGATGAATTCCAGTGAACAGCACAAATGAACTAGTGCGACTATCGGTGCGGGAGAGAGGGCAGATACAGGGCTGAAAAGAATGTGCGAGTAAAGACCGTTCCGATGCAGGGCAGCAACGGGATTGTTGAGCGGAAGGAGATCAGGCAGGCGAGTGGCTGCCAGGATAGTAGTCGACGTGGATCTGGGGCTGAGAGGTGGCCAAATCGGTGCCGTACGGGTACGCCGGTGGGTCCGACGAGACGTTGAGGCTGCGCAAAGTGCTTGCCGAGGGCTTGAGGCCGACCGTGCGCGAACCGCGAGAGCCGAGGAGCTCCTTGAACGACGAAGCCTGCGGGTGATCGTCCGCGACGGTTCTCAAAGGCAAACTAATATCTTCGTGCACGCTCTTGCGCTGCACAACGGTGATGTCGATGGGCGGCTGCTTGTTGCGGATCACGTTGAAGCCAATCGCAGCGCGGAAGACCGGATCCAAGGTGGCCAGGGTGGAGAAGATGGCGGCCGAGGTGCACGAGATGGTGGTGACGACGCTCGCTGCGTAGATAGCCACCTGCCAGGTAAGGACGATATCGCCCGTCAGCGCCACGTGCGGATAGGCAGTGCCGACGATGTACATCGGAATCCATGCATAAGCGGGAGCGCAGACGACGAGGAAAAAGACGTAAATGTGCGCCAGGAACGTCATCTTCCACGTGGCCAGGTTGTGATGCACCGTGCTTTTCTCAGACGTCGGCTTACCCTTGGTGACTAGGAACCAGAGCTTGCGCAGATAGCTGTTGCACGTGCTCGGAAGCGGGTCCGGGCAACGCGAACAAGCGTGATCCACCAAGTTGAGCAGGTTCGGAATCCCGTACGCGATACATGGAATCCAGAGCAAGACGGCGCAGGCCGCAAAGAAGGCAAGGTTGATGCATACGTATCGGTGCGACTCGATATAGGCGGCTGCTACGACACGCGCGTGCCAGATGAGCTCGTCGCTTGCAAGCGTGGAGTCTTTGCCGAAGCGGTGCGGTTCGAACGCAGCCTCCTGGAGGTGGCCGTGGAATAAAGCCGGCAGGATCTGGCGAGAGAGATGCTTGGCATGATAGTAGCTGACTCCAGAGAGACCGACCAGGGTGAGGGTGGTGATGGTCACTGCGACGAGAGGAATGACGAGTGCCAGGTTGATGACCAAGGGGGACTTGGGTAGGCAGAGAAAGTACCATTTTTGACGACCATCGGGCGAGTTTGCGCTGGAGTTGATAGAGAGGGGCGATTTAGGACTGCATCCAAGGACAAAGCCGTGCACGCTAATGTATGTGCCGGCAAGCAGAGGGTACCAGGGGAGCGGCATGGACCACCACCATTCGAGCGCGCTCAACTTGGCAAAGCTGTAAGTGACGTTGAAAACGCAGGCGATACCCCATCCAATAAGATACAACGAGACGGCGATGATCAGCGTGACGAGGGCATTAGCGACGTAGAAGGTTCCATAGGCGGACCGACGGCGTGCTATCAACCAGACGTCGCTGTAGCTGCGCTTCAGGATGATCATGGCCCCGCAGACGACGAGCGTGAGGACCACCTCGAATTGGTTGGCGCAGAGGTAGACGCGCATGCGACTGGGCGTGGGCTGATATATGGTATGCGCCAGCGCCACGAGGACTTGATCCTGCGTCAGGCCGCGATGGAGAAATGCCATCGACTGTGGATCGGTCCGACGGTGGAGAGATGCAGCCGTGTCCGGCATGTCGAGATGCTGGGAGGCGTTCATGATGGACGCGACCAAGGTACGACCACGATGTGAGCGCTGGAGCGGAATTATGGTCAAGAGGGATAAGCAAGAGGAGGACGGTGGTCAACTCTTCCCAAACTCGAGCTCGTGCTTTATACTTGACCCGTACATGCTTGTTCCTCCCAAATGCGGCTTGTGAAGACGATCGAGAGCTCAGGCCACTCTTCTGCATCGCGTGCCTTGCAAGGGGAAGCCAGAAGCGTTCGAACTCGCCATAGTCCGAGAAAGAGATGAGCTCGAGCCCCTCCTCTCTCCTTTGCGATCGTTGCAGCGGAAGGACCCAATCATTCGAGTGTTGTCGTCTTGAAAGGTGTCCGTGAGCCCGTGCCACCCCTAAGCAATACATTCAGTGCCACAGGACATCGTCGGCTAAAGCTGGCCGAAGCTTGGTCCACTCCATCCCCCACTGCAATGGACAAATAAAACCGATCCGGACCGCTATCGATGCACGGAGAGAGAGAAAGAGAGAGAAAGTGTGAGAGAGAGTGAGTCAGCTTGGAGACCCACCGAGGACCCAAGCGTTCGGCTCTGACAGCGAGGAAAAGATGTGCAGCTCGCGGAGGACACTGCGCAGCGGAGAAAGAACAAGAGTCGAAGCCATAGGGCCCTTGCTGAGTTCTAGCGAGGAGTCCTGATCACCACGGACCGCGATCTCGGAGCGCCCCGAGCGCGACATTGCGCAGAGTGGGTCCAGGCGTTAACCAAACGGCTCCTTCTCCGTCTCGGCCTGGCTTGTCCGAAGCTACAATCGTATGCCGGTGGGTCCGAGCTGCGAGGAACGCGAATAGATAGTCGAACCGCAC